TGGGGGGAGGGTGGGGCAGGGGGAGAGGTGTTTGGCTGTGACATAATGGTTCTGTAGGCACTAGCATATGGGCTGCAAACACTGACAGTTTCAAGAGGGCCTTCGGTTTTAATTTCTCAATCACTGGTTATTCTGCTGTTCATTCTTATTTGAGTAGATATTTCTTCTTTCTATGTGTATTTTTTATGCTAGTTCAGAAAATAGTCACAGCAGAGATGTAAACAAATTCAGAAAACATCATCATCTCCTAATACATAAAGTATAATTATGTGCCTAATAAATTGTTCAAAAGAACAACCAAGATGGTAAAATTGGATTGCTTACTACATATAGAAGAATCCTGTTAAGGAATGTTGTGAACAAGAAAAATCCAGAGTAACCAGTAGCTGGAGTTCTTTATTTAGTAAAGAAGGTTTCAAGAATTAGGACTGAGTGCGCTGATTAAGGCAACATCCTTCTGAGCTCAGAAGGAATGTTTCCTCTGCTCTCAGATTAAGTGTTTGTAAAGCCTGCTTCTGTGCAGTTTCAGAAAAAGTCTTGCTTAGTGTGAAGTATATTTACTGAAGGCGGAATATTTGGAAAAGCTGCTAAAATCCAAGAAGCCTCTACCAAGCACAGGTGAACAGCAGTCTCCTATCTATGTGCACCATCTCCCTTCCAATCCTCCCTATACTTCGCAGCCTTTCATCTTGACAGAACTAGGGTAATCCTGTTTCAGGTCAGGAAATGTATTTGTCTGACATATATGCTGATGTATGCTAAATTTCAGACTTTGGCTTTTAGGTCTGCGGGTGCATAGCACAAAGAAAATATATCTGTCAGTTCGTGTGTGATCTTGTTTTAACAAGTAAAATAGTCTTCCCTTTTCTCTTTCCTGAGCAGAGAATGTTCTTGTTAGGGGATTTTGAGGAGAGAAGGCTCTTTTGGCTAAATTGACATATTTACCATGAAAAAGGGACTTGAGTACTGCAAATTGCAGCTGAAATAGTTGATTATGACTTACACATGACTGATTAACAGGGCTTCACAAGAAGTGCTGGGCAGTCATTAATTTTATTCCCTCTAGAATACAGTCATTGAGAGAATCCTGAAGCCATATTACAAGTAAAACCTATATGCAAGGGAATGAGTTAACAAATAATTTTTTTCCCATTTTTTTCTGATTCTAATTTTGCTTATAATGGAATATGATAATATAATTCCATTAAAAGAATGCAATTAATCTGGTATCTTTTTCTTACTTGGCATTACAAACATCTGTTAATTACCAGCTTCTCATTGGTCATTCATTTTCACGCTGTTGCAACTGTTGGTGAATTTTGCATGCGAGTGCTTGAAGCATTTGTCAGTATGCACTTTTGTTTTTTTGAAAGCAGCTGTAGAGTAACTAATGAATGTTCTTTCTACAGTATTTGATCGTTTACAGAATGTTCTTTGTTTTAAAGATGGGGATACCAGCGCAACAGAGAGCGGTGATGAGGTTCCTGTAGAACTGTATACTGCTTTTCAACATACACCAACTACAATTACTTTAACTGCTACAAGAGTTACAAAAGTCAGTGATAAGAAAAGGAAAAAAAGTGGAGAGAAAGAACAGAACATAGCAAAATGTAAAAAAGTAAGTGAATGCAATTTCTCTTTTTATAACTCTGTATTATAAACTATAGTTATGTGACTTTTTACCAAGAGACACTGGTTTTAAAAAATCAGTCTATTGTTACTAATAATATTGTACTACCTAGGTTTAGCTTGAAATTTAGTACTGTGCAGTAGGTGATACAGTCTTTCCTACCTCTTCCTTTAATAAGTATTAGCTATGAAAATTCAATTTTGTAACTGAGGTATAATTTGTAAGGAGGAATTGCATTTACTGGACCACTTGATAGAGTTAGAGATGGGACAGAACAAGTTTTGGATACCCTAAGAAGAATTTTGTGTCTGAAGGTCTTCAGTTGTGGCTGTTTTAATTCAGAAACGTTTGCTAACAGTTGTCCTAATGTGACTTCAGGTCAATCTATTTGAGATTAAATTGCCTGGAAGTGTGCTTTCAGACAGTTACCTACTAAACTACTTTGGTAAACAGGATATTGACATGATACTGTTCAGCTAAAGATGTCAGTACATGTGAAGAAGTAAAGTACATGGCATTTCCTAATCTAACAACTTATTTTCTGCAGTTCAGTTTCACAGCTTGGATGAGAATTTTGTCTTTTAAAACTTGAAGTCAGAATTAGTTACTGATAGCTCTTTGGAAATACTGAATAAAAGGTTTCCTTTTGAATGAACAGTTCCAAATATAAATTTACTACTGTATATTCTTCTGTTACCTCCCAACATTGTATGAAATGATTTAAAGAATGAAATTTTGTTGTAGAATGACAAACTTCTTTCAGAAGTTAACATTATAGGACATCTAACACCTGCTTTCCCCTCCACTCTTTCCACAAATAGTGTAGTGAGGTATGTGAGCAATTTACAGGTTTGCCTGATAAGTACAGGGTGTTCCATAAGTGACTTTTCAGTTACTTTACCTTGAATTCTGAAATTCTAGAGAGTTATGTTGTAATATGGGAGAAGGGTAAGGGCACCTGGAGGACTAGCTCTGACATCCAGGATGCACTTAGCTTGGAATGCTGAATTTTTTTTAAATATTTGTGAGCTGTGACCTGTTGTCTTGAGATTTCAACATAGTTTGTTCTGTTGTCCTCGTCTTGCATGTTTTGTTGAGAATGGTCCACATTGAAAAGCTCTGAATTCATTATTAGATTTTGAATTACTTGAGAGATTTTGTATTTCCTCCAAAGAATATAAATACCTAATTTTGTTTCAGGCATTTCGAGAAGGATCCAGGAAATCTTCACGAGTAAAGGTATTGCGATTTTGTGGGGGTTTTGTTTTAAGCCTTAATTGTACATTACTCAATATGAAGCATCAAGAGTGCAATTTATGCTGTACATTAAGCACTAAAATACTCTTGATAACTAATGTACTGTTTAAGCATCATAGTAATTTCAAATTACGATACAAGCACTACATCTTTTATGTCTTGGAAAGTTAACCGAAATAGTATAGTGTACATTTTTATTCTGAGAACACTTGGTTTTCAAGAGCCAGTGGAGGAATTAGGCCTTGTTTGTGCTATGCAAGGGAGTAAAGTTGAGTGCTCACCTCATTTGAACCTAGTAGCTCCAGCTTTTTATAGCTCTAAGCAGCAAAAGAATGAAATGGCTATATTGCATTTGAAAGCTAAACTAGTGGTTCTACTCTGTCATACCTCCATGTATTAATCTGGTGGGACTCTACTCACTAGTGCTGGCATAGTTTAAGGAATTGTGTTGGGATGTCTGCTTTGTAAGATTTAAGTGTTAAGCATTCTTTAAATTTTCTGAGAAAAATATGCATGGTGTGAAAACTAGGTATTTTTCATAGTTTATTCATCCTTGGGACCTATAAAAACAAGTGGGATACAATTTACACTTCAAATGTATACGATGTGATTTGTGAATAGTGAAGACAGAATTGTGGAAGAAAATCTCTATTTTGTGCTTTTTGAATATGGTGTCTGTAAGGTTCCATTGTGTTTTTTCATGGATTTCTTAGCATCACACCTTTTTTAATGCTGTTTATGGTTATCTTGATACACAAAAGAAATGTAAACAGGTAAATTGAATTGCTGAACGACTTGCTGTTTTATTAATGTTTAATAGTGTCTCTGCTCAGGTGGATAGAAAAGGGAACGTTGGTTGGCTGCTGCTGTCCGTAAGGAGCATTGGTTGGCTGCAGCCTGGCTGCTGCTTGTGAGGTCTGGAGGTACAATAGCACTTTCTTTAAAAGTGAAAGCATCTGAAGCACCGCAGAAGAAAAAAAACTGTTTAGTGAGGAGCAGATAAGGGGAGAAAAATGATTTGTGCAATGCCTGTAACGTTAGAGTCACAACCTTAATGTAGTAGATGTAGGATTAGTAAAGTTTAGTAAGAACTAAAGTGGAAAAAAGATACAGCATGACCCTTGAAGTTGAAAGGGGAAAATCAAATCTGTGTATGATAGTATGGAAGCTGGAGTTCTTCATATTTGCATCTGTTCACAAAAGTTGAGTAGGCAGGGAGATCTGACCCTCCAACTCATGCACTTACAGGTTCATGATGCAGTGCAGTTATGGGAGGAAACAGTGTCAGTCCCCATTCTCATCCCACTAAAAGCTAGAATCCCTGTTGAAGGAGGAATGTATTCCTAAACTTGGGTGATATTTATGAAATTATAAAATTCCTATAAGGACAAATGTAATGCTATGAATGAATTCAGCTTTTAAGTAATGCAGAATTTTATACTGGACTTCCTAAAAAAACCCCAAACCTTAAATCAGTGACACATACTTTGCCCTTCATTTTGTATCTTGTTGTAGACTTGATTTTTTTATTTTAAGATCTTTTTTCTTACCTTACAGTATTTGGTCATTTATTTTAACTTTTAGGGCTCAGCTCCAGAGATTGATCCTACTGACAGTTCGAACTTTGGATGGGAAACTAAAATCAAGGCATGGATGGATCGTTACGAAGAAGCAAATAATAACCAGTACAGTGAGGGTGTCCAGAGGGAGGCACAAAAAATAGCTCTGAGATTAGGCAATGGAAATGACAAAAAAGAAGTCAGCACCAGCAATCTGATTTTCAAACCTCCAGTAGAGGTAATGAGCTGTGCCATGTTTTGTTATTGCATGCTTTTTTGTGCCATGATTTTTATACATCCTGTATCACCCCTGGTAATGCTTGCACTTCTATATCAGTTCTCATAAAAATAGCTAAGGTGTTAGTCTGAACCTGAATATTGGATTGTTCTTAGAGTGTCTTTTGTGGTGGACATATCGCAGTAAACTTTGCTGTTTCTCAGCTCTGTGAGGAATGTCAGGAGGGCTCAGAGTAGATAGAAGCATTGAAATTGATTTTTTTTCCCCCCCCCCCCCCCCCTTATGTGTTACTTGTCCACATTTTTCTTAAGGTATGGTAAGTGTTCAGATAGAACTTCATTTACTAGTTCATGAAGGATGTTTCTGATGGTAGGTGATACTCTGATAGAGATTTATTTATTTTTATTTTTTTTTACTGTTGTGGTCCTGCAATTTTTAATTTATGAAGAAATTTTACAATGTCTTTTTCTATGCTTAACATCAGTTACTTACCAGATTAAAATCAGAGCCATGAAACAGACCTTAGCATTTTGTAGTAGAAATCTCAAGGAGTAGTTGCTGTAGCAGATTAATGGAAGCATCTTTGCTTCTTTTCCTCAAAGACCATCATGGCATATGGGACACCCTCCTTAGAGGACTATCCCTGCTTACAGAGCCTTTTGCCTACATAGAGGCTGCCTCCTTTTTGATTGGTGATGACAGTTATGAGTTCACTAATTGTCAGGGTATGTATTGGTTTTTAATTAAAAACCATCCTTCCATCTAAAGATATGAAAATCAATTTGGAAGCTCTCTCAGGATTTTTTAATTATTATTTTGTTATTTTCCTGTTTTGCTTTTCCTTGAATGAATCGTGAACTTCCGTTAATGTCTGCGTGCTTTGTTTTGTTTGAAGGAATTGAAGCCTTTTGAAAGTGTTACGCTAAACAATGCAGCAGTTCATCCTAGTAGTGGTGAGAGTTAAGTGTAGTAAGGGTTATAGTTCTTGAATTGTGAGAATATTAATATGTTGGGTTTCAACTCTATACTGGAGAACTAGAACTAAAGCATTCCTTGAGTCTAAATTCATGACTAGTTGCATTGGTAGGGGAACAGGACAGTTTGATCAAATTGATCTGGAGGTTTAATTACAAAAAAGAATGTTTAGTTCATATAGAATTGTGTAGTAGTTGTAAAAGTGTAATCTGTTGTTAATAATAATAGAAAAATAGTAGAAAATGATCATGAAATGATATTTCATGAATTAATTTATGTCTTTACAGAGTCATGTGCAAAAAAACAAGAAAATTTTAAAAGCTGCCAAAGACTTGCCTCCTGATGCACTTATTATTGAATACAGAGGAAAGTTCATGCTGAGAGAGCAATTTGAAGCTAATGGATATTTCTTTAAAAGGTTTGTTTATTCCAAATGTTTTAATAAAAATGGTGTTTTGCTAAACTCTTGCCTAAGGTACAAGTGGGTCTTATTTACCAGCAATGTCTTGAATTTACTGTTGTCTGATTAAAAATAATTGCAGCTGGAATCTGGTCTCCCCCTTGTATTCCAGATATCCTTACAGATCTGTTCAGGAGTTAGTTTCCTCTTTCTTTGTTCTTCCCTGATTACAGGATTCCTGCTTTCTCAGTTGGGTAGTTGTGCACCTTAAACCAGAGATTGGCAGGTTCTACCATCCTAAAATAATTCAGAAGGTAATGGCAAAAACATTCTCTTTTGTGAGAGAAATAGATTTTAAGTCCATCAGGCTGAGAATGGAGTTGGACACAGGTCACCTTGGGGCCATTTTATTGCCAGAGTTCTCTAGTTGGCTAAGTTACTGAGCAATGTGTGGCTGCTTCCTTCATCCTGTGGATCATTTTCAGCGCGGCCGTTAATTGCACAGACACCTACTTGGGAAATTGCAAGAGGCCTGTTGAGGGAGAGGGAACACAGAGCTTTTGCTCAGTAAAGATGGAAGGATTCCCTGGCACTTGTAATAGCAGAACTTAAAGCATGTCTTGATAAAGTATTTGGATGCCCCCTTTCTTCAGGAGGATTAGGTGCTAGTGATGCTGCAGGTGTTGGGTAGGGATGTGCAGGTGTTACTTTATTCTGTTGTTTTGGGGTTTTTAAAAAATTATTCTGAAGCACCCGCATTTCTGCCTGAGTTTCATTTTAGGACCTGCCATAATAAGAAAGATGAAGAATCTTAACCTTGTGTCTTCCATGTCTGGTGCTTGCCCTATTACTGTTGTTCCCTTTAGATCCTATGCAGAAGAATTACATTCAGGGCTGTAACTCCCAATATTTGGAGAAGACATTTGGAGAATGTGCCAGTTAGAATTATGAAGCTTAAATACAAACACAGCACTCTCAGATTAAACCACATGTATAGTCTGTCTTGCCAAACATCATGTTAAAAAGCTAACTAATGTGAAGAATAAGTGATATTTAGCAACTTTAAAAATGATAAAACTCTGGTTTTCTTTGTATCTTTTTTTCAGGCCATACCCATTTGTTTTGTTTTATTCCAAATTCCATGGGCTAGAAATGTGTGTTGATGCAAGGACTTTTGGAAACGAAGCTCGATTCATCAGGCGCTCATGTACACCAAATGCAGAGGTGACTATATACATAAAGTTAAATTAGTTTTTATTTACTTAGAAGTCCCCTTTTCTTTGAGTTTCCCAACTGATAATTTGAGCAATCCCTACAATTTCTATACAGTTGTTTTGGTTTTTTTTGAATGGGAAAAAAAAAAGGGGGGGGGGGATTTAAAGAACCAAACTAATTAATTATAATAATGTTCTCTTGAATATAGGTGAGGCATGTAATTGAAGATGGAACAATTCATCTTTATATTTACTCCATCCATAACATTCCAAAAGGAGCAGAGATTACTATAGCATTTGATTTTGATTATGGAAATTGGTAAGTATTTGAGCATGCTGTTCTAAAATGCATCTTATGTTTATTAAGTTACATTGTGATTCAGAGTGACTTTGTTTTTATATCATTGACTCTTTCATGCTGTAATAACACGGGGCTCCTTAAGCACTAAATTTCCAATGAACAGTGTGTATGGGCAGGGTTTCTTCTGTATTTTCAATACTGCTTATCTGTTGCCAATTTCAGCAATATTGCAGTTAAAATGATGTGGAAAAGATACTAACTTAGATGAATATGAATGAAGTACTATGAAAATTTATTGTATATAGGTGTGCCATAGTATGGGGAGAGTAGACAGAAGAAGATCTAGAACTATTCGGTAATGACTTACTTATTTCAGAGTGCCTCTGTAGTATAACTTCGGGAAGACAGTGTCTGTGGAATTCAGGTATAAATCGTGTTTGTTTAGTATGTGATTAGGAATGTTCAAATACACTGAATGCTCAGTGCCTTAGATTCTATAACCTATTACACATTTTCCTGAATATAACTGCTGCTCCTTTGATAAACTGGGAAGAGGTCTAATAAACTGTTGCCATTATCTGTGAGCATTGTTTTGAAATGGTAAAGGAAATTATTGGTTAAGTTCCATTCACATATGTAGGAACTGTTATTCAAACAGTTCTTTGAAATCTGATGGCAAAATAAGGCCTTTGAGTGATATAATCTAGTAACGATTTCTGTTGGCCAGTAGGGAATGTTCTAGGGTGTAGGTACATAGTGCAGGAACACTTAGGCTAATACTAACCTTAGAAACTGAAGCACTGAAGAGCCTGTTGCTGTGTGTGCGCTTGGTCAGGTCCAGAAGCAGTCCAGCTGTTTCATGTTTTGCTATACCAGGGTAATAACTCTTCTGTGGTCTGCTCATAAGTCGGCTTGGGCGCAGTGCTGTGCAGATGTGCCCTCGCTGCTTCTGGACCTGAACTAGTTATGTCCAGAGAGTACTACCTGCATTCATCAACTTGGGTTCAGACTAGTTCAAGATACCTTGCACTGTTAAGTGTTGTAGACATACTCCTACGCCCCTCACATCAAGACAACCTGAGAAATTGCCTGGTTGGTAGGTTTTTTGGGTTTTGTTATTTATCCTTTTAAAAGTATGTAGTAGTTGTGTTTAGTACCTGCAGTTGACAGCCTGTGTAATTCAAATGTGTTTGAATTACAGTTCCCGTGCATCCAAGTGGAACTTTAAATTGTACAAAATAGCTGAGTTCTTTCCAGTGTGCTTGTTCTGTAAATTGTGTCTGCTGTCTTAGAACTCTCTGCCTTCCATGTGTCTGTTAATTTAAATTTCTTTAATATGGTGGTTATATTTCCACCCAGGATATACTCAGGTCTTAAATGTCTTCTAAGCAAATACTAACCTTTAATTTTAAAGAATTCCATGTGGCAAACACAAATTCTGTTAACGAGTAGATGAGATTTTTTTAATTATAGCAGTATTGTATATCTCGTTGAAAACTTGAGTTAGCTGCTTTTAATATGGTTAGATTGCATCATAGCAGATGTTTAATGTGAAATGTTACCAGCTTGTGTGATTTAGTATTGAAAAGTCTAATTGCTGTACAGCCTAATCAAAATACACCTTCTTGCATTTAATTACTTCTAGTAAATACAAAGTGGATTGTGCTTGCCTCAAAGAAAATCCTGAATGTCCAGTTCTCAGACGTTCTGAGCCTACAGAAAACATCAATACTGGATATGAAACCAGAAGGAAAAAGGGAAAGAAAGAGAAAGATGTTTCAAGAGAAAAGGAGACTCAAAATCAGAACATCACATTGGACTGCGAAGGAGCAACCGCCAAAATGAAGATTGCTGATAACAAACAGAGGAAGCTCTCTCCCCTCAGGCTGTCCATTTCTAATAATCAGGTATTAACACAAAGATGATCAGAAAGAAAAACTTTTAAACACAATTACTCTCCTTTTGTTACTAAAGGAATTTTAACAAGTCACTGAAAAGGGGTATGGAGACTTATCAAAAATCATAATGATGGATAAGCCATTTAGAATTTTTTATATTGTTCTCAGTTTTCTTAATTTTTGGTTGTATTTAAAGATACGTTGGTTCCCATACCAGTTTTAACTATACATTTTTTCCTCTGAATTTCTTTGGATCTCTAATATGAAAGCCTCTTGTCATGCTTTCAGGAGCTCTGAGACCATCCCAAAGTGTCTTTTGCTTAGTTGCATATGTTACTTAGTATTTTAAACATAGCAATAAGTAGCCCTGCTTCTATAACAAATAAAACTTCAACCCAGAATATTAGGGTTCTCTGCAGCTCTTTTAAATAGAGTCGTGGGAGTTGGGAGGACAAAGGTGTGTTTTGAAGCTAAATACTGGATGATAAATGGATAGTATGGTAAAGCTACCTGGTAATATAACATGATAGTAAATTTTAAATTAGTCTTTCTTTTAATATGTCAGTTTGAAAGAACTAGTGGGAAAGGTCCATCAGATTAATTATTATCTTAATTTTGCAGAGCAGCTATTGAGCAGATGGTTACCTTAGTAACTATCTATTTTTTCTTTTTGGGGGTGATGGTGGTACATTTTTTTTTCCTTTTTTGATGGTTTATGATGATGGTTTAGAGGCAGCAAAAAAAAAAAGGGTTATTCTGGGATGGAGTAATTTCCTAGTTCTTTTAACATCACTTAGGAGTGGAAGAAATAAGGTAAAAATGAGCGTGGTGACCCCCAGTTTTCATAAAATGATCAAATTGTTCTGGGGTGTTAGTAGCTAATGCTTGGACATCCAGAAGGCATGGCATGTGACTCTTAAAAATTATGATCTCCAGAGAAACAACATTTGAACTTTCTAATCTTGAGTGATTTTTTTGTTTTGTTTTGTGTTTTGTTTTTAACAAGTGATAACTGGTATTTGGAACCTTATCCTGAGCTTTTAATGTGATATACAGTGCGTATGTAGAACAGTCACAGGAGAACTCTTACTGTTTTTCAAAACTGAACTTAAAACAATAGGAATTGTGAGAAGAGTAGAGCTGTTAAAACGTGTATCTAAACATAGAAGACAGTCAATTAATGAATATTTCACCCCAGGAAAAAAGTTAATGCTAAGGTAAAGAAAGTGGGTAGGAAAGTGTCAAAGTGCTTCTAAGACAGATGTTAAAAAAAACTTTGTTTAGTCTTTTATGTAAAAGTGAAATTGCACGTAGGACTAGTGAACACTTTTCAAAGCTGCTGTTTCATGGTTGTGTTGGTTTTTGGTTTTTGTTTTTAAAAACAGAAAAACATTATTAGTTAGCTAACTCTTGGGTTTCCTCATGGTATGGCACTGTCACTACAGTCTATAATAAGAATTTAAATGGAAACTGACTTAAATAGAATATACTTTTGAGCTGAGGAAAAACTTCTGTGTAATTGCTTGTTAACACCTCTTTGGACGTTCATTCTGTTTCACTAATATGAATGGGGTTTTTTTTAATGGTTGTGGAATGTAAAGCTTCTAGTTCTTTAACTGATTCTAAAGTGGCTAAATCATTGGCCAGTGTTAGTGCCCAAAAGTTTTTATTGGTTTGGAGATTTAATTATGATTTTTTTCTTTGTTTGTCAAGGGGTATTTTTTTGTGGGTGGGGGTGTTGTTGGTTTTTTGGTTTTTTTTTTTTTTTTTTTTTTTTTTTTTTTTGGCGGGGTGGGAGAGTGGGGATGGAACCCCAAAATTTCAGTAAGATCAGTATGCTGAAGAAAAAAGATACAGATATGTCTAAGCTCAGAATGGAAAATAACTAGTCAGGTGATTATATTTACAGGTTTATACAAAGGTACAAGTGGGTATTAGGGTTTTTCACATTTATGGATTGATTTATTGGTTTGGTTACTTCTGATGTAGTGATCTGAGGATTCCAAGTTCTGTGTAGCTTTTAGTTTTCCCTAGTTTACAAGAGTAGTAGAGCTTCTGTAAAGCAGTCATTTCCATCTTTCAGGAGCCAGATTTTATTGATGATATAGAAGAAAAAACTCCCATTAGCAATGAAGTAGAAATGGAATCAGAGGAGCAGATTGCAGAAAGGAAAAGGAAGATGGTAAGTTGGGAAGCAAGTAGCTGCCTAAAGCTGTTGCTAAGGCTTAGTGACACCTGCTCTTCCCATGCTGATTGCTGCCTTTTTGTAGGCTTGTAGAATCTGAGTATATATGAAGTCAGATTATTACATGAACTTCAGTTTAAAATGCAAGGCTTGCTATTTGAGTACATTTAATCTGGCTTGATCATTGCTTTCGATAAAAACCTGCTTTTGTCTTCAAATGTATATAATTTTTTTATTGCCTTTAAAAAAGGCATTGTGGAAATAACCTAGATTTTATTTTCTTTGCTCTTTATTACTGCATGTTATTTGTAATGGCCACTTCTACAGATAGTATTGGGAGCCAGGATTTTTGCCTGACTAATTATTTTTTTGAGTTCCCAACTTACAAAACCTCAGAAATCCTGATTTTCAGAGGTTGGTAGAACAGTGTTACAAAACATAGGATGTTAAAATGTGCTTTTTTTTTGTTAGGCATTCAAAATATGAGATAGTTAAAATTAGTAGTTACATCAAAATCTTGGCCACGTTGTATAATGAAATACTATTATTTGAAACTTTCACTTTGTCGTTTGTGCTCATGGAATGACTGATAAGTGGAGATCGTGGTGGCACCAAAACTGTCTGCATCTGCCTAGACCTTAAAAAAAAAATAAAGGGGGGTGGGATATGCATTGTTTTTGGTCAGTATTTCCTACAACTCTGTCCATAGCAGAATCGATGACACTTGTGTTTATTAGACATCAGAAAGCAAAATCTGCTCAAGTAAAAGTATATTTAATACAAAATCTGAAGAACTGGCAGCATGAGCTCTGATATTAACATACCACAATGTCTTGTCGTGCTTTTGAGGAACGAGTCTCATCAAACACCAATGTATTGGTTTGACTTCAGAGGATGAGCTGGCTGCTTTTTTTTTTTTCTTTTGGTACTTTATATTTTTATTCTTACTAAAGCAAAGCTGTCTGTGAAACTTAGTTACAGCAGAGTTGTTGTAGTACTTAGAGATGTAATTATTACTCTAGCTCCATTACAGGGATTGCAAATAACTGAAAGTTTGCCTATATTTTACCAAGCAAACAGAGTAAAACAAAATTGGGTTCCTCATTCACTCATATGAGCAATATATTTGCAAGTATTCTTTCCTTGATATAAACAAGTTGTTGCTGTCAGTGCACTGCTGAGCTGCAGGCATTTATTTTAAAAAAAAAAAGAAAAAGAAGTTTGTAATAGAAGCCCCCAATTCTGGCACCTCTGTATTGTCTTAAGCAGAGCTCTGTGCTGGTTAAGGGATCTGTACAGCAGTAGGACCTGCATTACTGACAGGCACATTTAGCTTCTCTGTGTGGCCTGATGTTATCATCTTTTGAAATAAATAGTGATTCTCAGATATTGATTATATGTATTGATGTAGTTTGTGACATTTGGAAAATTGGGTCAGAGGGCAATGGAGCTTTCTGTTGTTATTTCATGGATGTATTAGTGTTTCCTGTCTTTCTGGTCATTAGTGTTTCATTGTTTTTAAATATTACACATGCAAGTAAGCGTCTCAGAGCTATGTATTCTTTTTAGGCTTATAGGCCAGTGATTTACTGGTAAATCACTATTTTTAGCAAGTTCTTAAATCCAGAGCAGGACTCTATTCTTGTTTGTCAGGGTCAGTGTGAATGCAGGCCTTTCTTGAGAAGTCTGTAATAATTGCAGGCATTGTAACATCTCTCTTTCCTCTGTGCTTCTGCTGAAATTGGTCTCCATGTCAATGTACACTGAACATGTTCTAAAGTACTTAAAAAAAAAATATTTGTGTATTTATATATGAGATTATGACTGAAACTTGATCATGATTATCATTAAATCCATCAGACAAGAGAAGAACGGAAAATGGAAGCTATCCTGCAAGCTTTTGCCAGACTAGAAAAAAGAGAAAAAAGAAGAGAACAGGCTTTGGAAAGAATCAGCACGGCAAAAACTGAGGTTAAATCGGAATGCAAGGAAGCACAGATTCTCAATGACGCTGAATTTGTTCAGGTAGTTATCTGGAACTTTATTTTAACATGACATGTTTTATTGGTTTGGATGTTGAGCTGCACTTTAAGATGTGTGAAATTTTTTTTTAACTCTGAACTCAAAGATATATTTGACCAAAAACTTTATAGTTCTTTGACATTATATTATGTTAGCTCCTGATTTTTTTTCTAATGTATAGAATTCATTTCTGAGGAATTTCAGTGACATTAGTTTATGCAAATGTGCACACACGAGCTGGATAGTTCAGTCTCTCATTGAAGTTCAGGATAGAAGGTGTTTACCAATGCTGACTTTAGCCACAGGAGGTGGCTTTCCTTAGGCACCCTCTATAACCAGTGGAGGACAACTTGCTTCTTCAGTGTGTTATTCAGGAACAGATTATAATCATTTTCTTTTAAAGGAAAAGAGTTATCACAGCATATTTTGTTCTGAGTTCTTGCAGATGATACATAACGTTTCATAAACTATTTTTTACTCTGTTGTTGGTGGGTGTTGGTATGCTGCTTCTTCTGGTACCTTGCAAATACTCCTACAGATTCTCAGTTCAGGTGGTTCTCCTGGATAATTTCTGTCAGCATGCTGTTAAGTACCTTTTGTGACAATGCTAAACACTTACTTACTAAACTATGAATTACAAAAACAATATTGTACTGAAGGCCATCATGATGTAAGCAGCTGATTTCTAGCTTATGGATCAGTGAATGTGGTGTGGCAGTTCTTAACAAATCTGTGGTGATCTGCCCAGCAACTGGTGTGTGTGAACACTCTGCCAATGATGTAGCAGGTGCTTGGGAGGAAAACGCAGGAGATCTTGTAGTTTGCCTTGGAGAAGGATAGAAATATTATCTCTCAAGTATTTTAGTTCTAACAACAAAAATGAGATGCTTTTGGACATATAAAAGAAGGGGGAACTGACATTTTGTTTCAAGAATGATAAGTAGCTTTACCTGTGTGTGGGATCTGCTTACTCGACTTCTATTTTGTACCAGGAACCAGCAAAAGAAGAAACTGCCACCAAGCCTACCCCAGCCAAAGTTAATAGAGCTAAACAGAGAAAAAGCTTCTCACGGAGCAGAACTCACATTGGACAGCAACGCAGACGACACAGAACCGTCAGCATGTGTTCGGATATCCAGCCATCTTCTCCTGATGTGGAAGTGACTTCACAACATAATGAAACTGAGAATGCTGCACTGGTAGCTGAGCCTGAAACAGAAACTGTTGTTACAGAAATGGTTACTGAAACGGAAGCTCCAGCACTTAATAAATGCCCTACTAAGTATCCTAAAACAAAGAAGGTATGTCTGTTAGGGGATGGGGAGAAGAGCAGGGACATTAAAGAGTGTTAAAAAATTATAGACTGCTGCATCAGTATGCAACTATATGTATTTTTTTTAAAAGAAGTTGACTTACTTCTTTAAAAATCACTGCTCACTGGTAATACTATATGTATTTTTTTTAAAAGAAGTTGACTTCTTTAAAAATCACTGCTCACTGGTAATGTAATTACACATGCTTTTTTAATCTCTTAACGTCCATTGGTTGAAGTTATTTTGGATTTTAAGAGACTTTCAAAAATAAATCTTTCAGAACAATTTTGGAACAAATGTTTTCCAAGGGAGGTACTTTGGAGGGAAGATTCTTTACTCTCTTCAGTGCTTTGTTTTTAAATTTTTTTGTTGAACTGCATTGCAAAAAGCTTGAATAAATGCCACCATATTTAAAGACACTAAAAAAAAAATCTTAAATCTGCAAGAGTGAATAAAACAATAAAACTTTCTGCTTTAAAATTCTATAGACTGCATTAAAAGGTGACTATTTTAGTATGCTTTACAAGTTCTGGAAATTTTATTTGGTGAAGGGAAGGAAGTCAAAGGTTGAAACTTCTCAAATGAACAGTAACAATCACAAGATGGTTTTATCTTAAATCCCCGAACATACTTACCTTATTTTTTTCCCCAAAAGGCACCTGATGAGTCATCCTGTAACACTGCTCATTGCATCACTATTAAATTCTTGTCAGAGGGGAGACTAAAATCTTTCTTTTTTTTTGCATGTTGCATAGCAAAAAAGAAGGAAGTTATCTAACAAGTCTGAATGTTACTGCATTTCTTTGTGTCATAGTATTAAGGATGAATGTCTGAAATGTCTCATTGCATTGTACCCAGCATACTCTCAGTGAGGAGAAAGCCCTGCTTTAAAAATGAATACATATAAATAGGTTTGTAAAAGATGAGCAACTTAATATGAAATATATTAAGATAATCTGTTTTAAAGTCTTAATAGCATACTAAATATTATTAATATGATATTTTTGCATGTCCTTGACTTTGAACCATTGTGGAATTTAGGAGGTTAGTTTATCTGTTAGTAGGAACCAAAATCCACTAGCATGTTTTTCAAAAGCACTGACCTAGCTAGGAAAGAATACCCTTTTTTGACAAGTGTACCTTAGTAAATGTGTTGTAACTTAATACATTAACTACAATAGTGGAGAATGTTTAAGGCATCTGCCTGACATGTTGACTGAAGCACAGTCCTGACAGTACAGAAATCTGATGAGGAGTTTATTTAACTTTGTTCTATTAACATTACACGATTTCCCCTCAGCTTAGGTGCTGAGGCACGAGTTTAAAATTTGTCTTGGAATTCTGTTACTAAATTTGCGTCGTAAGTACAGCTGATCTGGGCACTTGTATAGTACGTTCAGTGAGAATTAAATAGCAAAGAACTAAATGTTGGCTTACCGAAAATAAACCAAAAAACCCACCAAAACCCAAAAAGCAGAACCCCCAGAACTTTGGTATGTAGAGCAAATCTTTACTGATCTTTCTGCTGTCCCTGTTACTTCACTAAAACTGTCCTCATTCTTGCCCTGTGTATTCTTAAACTTGCAGCCTGGAAAGTAACAGTTTTCTGGTTTGTGGAACAGTTGACTAGGTGAATAATTAAACTAAAAAATTTCTAAAAGCCACTGATAAAAACGCTCAAAAAACACTAATTCTTTTTCTCTCTCTCTGTCTAGCACTTGGTCAGTGAATGGTTAAGTGAAAAGAGTGATAAAACAGGGAAGCCTACAGACAGTCTATCAGAAAGGCCTCTACGCATAACTACCGACCCTGAAGTTCTGGCTACTCAGCTGAATTCTTTACCAGGTCTCACTTACAGTCCACATGTATATTCTACTCCAAAGCACTATATTCGTTTTACTTCACCATTCCTTTCAGAAAAGAGGAGGAAAAAAGAACCTGTGGAAAACATTACTGGCTCTTGTAAGAAGGTAATGATTCGCTTCGTTGTGTTTCCCTATCCCGTATTAATTAAAAATAAGTCTTCATTTGCTGTCATGAGTTCAGGCAGAAAAAAAGTTGGTTGGCAAACCAGTTCTGTCATGTGTAAGGTGTTTTGAAAAGCTTGTCATTGAACTGTTAAGTCACTGATTTGAACTTGTTTTGTTACAGCGTTGGTTGAAGCAGGCTTTGGAAGAAGAAAATTCAACAATGATTGATAGATTTAATTCACCATCACAAGAGAGATCGAGAAGTCCAGCCATCAATGGTGAAAACAAAAGCCCTTTGTTACTGAATGACAGCTGTTCCTTAACAGGTGAAGCTTTTACTAATATGGTAGATTAGACCTGTGTCAAAGTCATTAAATGGAGGACAGTGTTTTTTAAAGTGATGAGTTATTGACAATTCCAGGGGTATTTGCACTGTTTTCTGATACTTTCTTCGAAAGAAATGCTTAGGTGCATAGTGGTTGGGATTTTTTCACCCTTTAATGTATAATTGATACTAGATAAGTAACCACTGTACCTCATAGTGTTTACAGTCAACAAGAGACTAATGTTTTTGACTGAGTTTTAAGAGGCTAGGTTATAAATTCATTTCTCATGCTGTTCTGTATATTCAGAATTCCTTTTGAATTCAGTGGGCCTGTGTTGCACACAGAGGAAAAGCTGTGTAGTCTTGTAGGCATAATACAAAATGGGAATGTGCTGAAAACTAAACGCACTTCTGTAATATGGAATGTATTGGATGATTTTTGTGTACCATCCTGAACTTGGAATTGCCACTTTTTAGCTGAACAGTCTTAAAAATGCATGGAAGTTGACTTTCATTTTTCTGTAAACATAGACACTCCTTCTCATCATCCTAGCACACAAATTTCAGTCACAGATACATCTCTAGGCTCTAAGAGTTTATTTTTCAGGAAGCCTACTCTTAAGAGATTTTTGTAATCTTACTAATTTTTTAATGTGGAGTTCATAATTTCATTACATCAAGTACTTAAACAACTGTGATTACTACGTATAGATCTCTTCTAGCTTTTTTCCTAATTTCAACACACAGATCTAACCACACCACTAAAAAAACGAAGACTGTATCAGCTGTTGGAGTCTGCATTCTCAGAAACCTCCACACCTACTCCTTCCCCCTATGCCACACCAACTCATGCTGACGTCGCTGCCTCCGAGCCGTCATTGTTTGCTACTCCTCCTAGGGTAAAAACAGAAGATGAAGCTTGTAGAAATGGTTACAAACCCATATATTCACCAGTTACTCCTATAACTCCATGTATACATGGAAATACCATGCACTTTGAGGTGAGATTTACAGTGAATTTCAGTGTGTTCAGACATTCTAGTGTAAATTGCCATTGTACTGCTGCTACAAGGGGGTGTTCTGTGTTTCTCCAGGCAAAAGAAATAAATTAACTTGCAATTTCTTCTTATTTATTTAGAATATTTCCTCACCTGACAGTTCCCCAGAAATAAAAAGGCGAGCTTACAGTCAAGAGGTAAGAATATTTGCCAAAAACTGCAAATGATACCTTGATTCACCTTATGGCTGCACCATTCTTAGTAAATGCTTTTCACCAGCCATTGCAAGTTTCCTGGAATGTAAGGGGTAACTTCCCTACAGGTTTTATTTGCTTATCACTGTATATTTCCACTTCACTATTTCATTTTCTGTTTTAAACTGGTTTCTCCTCTTTTTTCTGTATCACTTAAAAATCCTGATGGCTGTCATGGAAAAGAGTAACTACTGCAATTTATAGATAAGAACAGAAAAATCAACACTTGTGCTTTTCAGACTGCAGTTTAAATTAACATTTTGCCTTGTTAACAGCATCTCTTAATTGTTTCTGTTGAGCCTAACTATGCTCAGAGTGAGAGAGCAGAGCAGAAAGGTAATAAATGGGTTTAGGTGGGTTAGTTCAGGTGCAGCAAGTGCTGTTGGAGTGTGCCCAGGCACTCCCAGCCTGGGGGATGGATGTGTCCTACTGTGGGAACACGTGCGGGTGGCCAGGCTGCTCGCGGGGCAGCGTGGCATGACAGCTCCCTCAGAGATCCTTCTGCCTCGGAGGGGGGGTGAGGAGATGTTCCACAGCAAGGGGGGGGCTCATATTTGATGTCACAACTACATGGTTTGCATAAAGGTGTACTTTAAACTGTGAAGTTACTGTTGAACTTTAAACTTAATGGTACCTAAAAGGAATTGGTAAAAATAAGTTACAAAAAATGGTTTAGCAGGTTATACTAATGGAGAATTTCACTTCTGGTGAGTTGTGTAAACGAATGATCTAATTTTTTCCTCTGGGAGTTAAGTGTATGGATTTTTATTTTTTTTTTTTTTTTTTTTTTGGTCAAAATCTTAACAGATTTTGTAATACACCAGTCTTTTCATACAGTCATAGCTATTGACTGAATTTAACAGTTATTTCTAAATTATTGTAATTGAATGTTTTAATGTTTATCTGACTCAAAAAGAGAGGTTTTACTTACGAATTTTTGCTTTGTAATACAAATAATTTTTAAAAGACTAATTAAAACCTTAAAACCTGTTGGATTAGAAAAGCTACTTCCAGCCATGAATGTGTGCTGGGTTTTTCATGATTAATACAGTTTAAAGAAGTACAAAAGAAGTTTGTATAACATGGGACACTTTCTACCCCTTTAGAGAATAGTGGTTTTAATATTGCCTCAAAATTCAAAAGTGTCTCAGAAAAAATTTTATTTTTATTTCTTTTTCTTGAAATAAATGTTTTGACACCAAGGATCTCTTTTATGTTGAGTTGAAGCAGGTGCTTTATAACTTCCTGGCCAGGGACCCGCTCCTCCCCTTCCTCTGGCAATCATAAGTAAAACCTGGCATTTAAAGTTTATTTTCACAGTGGTTAACGTGCATTTTATTAAAATGTTTGTACCTAATACGTGGTGATGGTAGAAATAAGTGTCTGGCTATAGAACTGTTTGTTAGGTAAAGCCATGGTACTGGGAGGCCTCTAATCCCACGTAAAGGCATAACTGGATGTCAGAGTAGTTGCAGTTCTGTTGGAGTGTGGAAAAAGAATTGACATGCTTTTTCTTCACGCAGGGATACGACAGAGCATCGATTCTAGCACTGAATTCTTTCAGAAATTCCAACCTGACAGAAATGGGCCTGCAAGAAATAAAGACTATTGGATACTCCAGTCCAAGGAATAGGACTGATGTCCCACGGCAGTGCACTGGAGAAATGGAATCTGTGTCAGACCTCCAGCTGGGACTCGAAGTAATTGAGCAAAGTGCACTGCATAAAAACCTGGAAGCCCCCACACATGATAGGACTGATTCAAACAGCCAATTAGAAACTGCTCATTGTGGACGGGGCACAATTTATTCTTCCTGGGTAAAAAGTCCCGACAGGACAGGTGTAAATTTCTCAATGAATTCTAATTTGAGGGACTTGACCCCTTCACATCAGTTGGAGGTAGGAGGTGGATTCAGAATAAGCGAGTCAAAGTGCCTGATTCAAGACGATGCTAGAGGCATGTTCATGGAAGCATCTGTTTTTTGTACTTCAGAAGATGGAATTGCATCTGGCTTTGGAAGGACTGTCAATAACGACAACTTGATGGATGGAAATTGCACACCCCAGAATCCTCCACAAAAGAAAAAGGTTATAACTTTAAGAACCACTTGGTCTGTCTTACTTAGTCTGCTAAGTAAATTTTTATAACAGAAGGAACCATAATACAATAAAAAACATCTGATGGCTCATCTTTAGGTAGTACAGCATAGTAGACATTATTCAGGGGAAATAATGAAGAGCAAAGAGTAAAGCTGCATACAGCCATTAGTGTATTTATTTTTTCCAAGTAATAGATACAAATGCACTTTTGCTTCATGAGAGTTTTAAATTAATTGCTCAATAAATAATTGCTTTTCAGGTTGGAAAATGATTGCTTATGCCACTAAGTATTACAATGTTCTGTTACTTAGAATATATACTAGCATCATATAGATCATATAGTGTGAATATTTGTTATGAATTACTGCTAGAAATTACACTAAAAGATTTATGACACTGAGACTTAAAAATTCCCATTTTTATATACTTAAGGTATCTTGGTTTCACTGTTAGAACTACACAAAAATCCTTAGTTCCAAGCAGTCTTTTTCTTGGCTTAATTTCTTCTTTAAAAAATACTGGTTTTGAAAAATAAGCACAATCTAAATTTGCTGCTCTCTAGGAACAGTTTTTGTAGGTAAGTTGTGTGTGGTCATGGGCAACTTGAACCAGAATGGGAGGTTACTCTGTGTAACTGTCCCTGCACTTTGCTGTGAGGTCAGGCTCCCTCTGCTCCTTGCAGAAAGGCTGTCAGACGTGGAGTCTCCAATGCACCAGCTTGCCAGTTCTGTGTCGTAACAGACTGTAGTAACCTTTCTTGTTTGAAAGATGAGATTTATTTTCTTTATGGGAGTAATGATCAGGGGGTGGGGCATCTTCTGTATGTGTGCATGCATGCACAATGCATTTTTGGGGTTTTTTGGTCCCATCACACCTCCCTGTACACACCTCCTCCCCTGTGCTCTGGGGCATCCTGCCAGGGAGCATTCATGATTTGTCCTTCAGAAGTTCTCTGTCAGAACTGGATTTTTGTTTACTTTGACTGTGTCATAACTGAAGCAAGATGGTAGGAGCTCTGTTCTTACCTGGTCCTGACCCTAAGAATTTTATAGATACCACATGTTACTGTAGCCCTGCTCTTTTGGCAAGGCCAAAAAAACCTCAAAGAAGCCAGAATTTCTGTAGCTTCACATTCTTATTCGTTTGAAGGTTAAATTAATTTATTTTCAAATACCAGCAACTTAAAGTGCTTTAGTAACCCTCCTTCCTTGCTGACAAAGATTCTTCCAGGTTGTTACTGCTGAGGGCTTGTGCTGCACTAATCCCCAAATGAAAAAAGATGTGGCTTCCCCTTGACACCCCCTCCCCAGAATAACTGTCTAAAGGTCTTAGTTTAAAGAAACAGCCAGAGGAAATGGTATCTGTACCCCTGAAAGAATAGAGCATTTCTGTGAGCATTTGCTCCTCTGTTTCCTTTCACCACTGTACAAATTCATCCTGTTTCAATACGATCCTGTACGTAGTGGCCACACTGCATAGGTTCCATCCATTCTTAACATACCAGCTTTCTTTAGAGCAGTTTTCTTCAAAGGATCCCAGTCATGTGACATGGAAATAATACAAATTGAAAGCAAGAGCAGTTCTTAACCTAAACTTTCTTTTATGAAAAATATTTGTAACTGGTCTTACCCTGACATATAGATGAGTCTTTAATAGGTAGATCTGTTTGAAAGCAAACAAACAGAAAACCCCAGGACTGCCAACGAAGCAGGCTGCCTTGGTTTTTCTCTCTGTGTAGAAATGGGTGTCCAATTTATTGAGGACTAAGTCAGTTAAAGGTGGATTTTTTTCATTATTGCATTTTATTAATTGTTTTGAATGCTGTATGGTTCAGAGTAGGTTGTTGATAAATAGAAAAGATTTAAAGACATTAAATGTAGTTTCCACCAAACTAGTGTTATTATTCAGTAAAGTAGGTCTGAAGGTCAATATTTCAGCTTTCTGCTTCAAATCATGAAGATACATAGCGAAAACATACTGAAAACTTATTTTTCTCACTGAAGGTAACTTACTGAACATTTGAATTGTTTTCTGTTCTATGGAAGCTTCTGCATAGTGATTTTATATATAAAGTAGAAACCACTTTTCCCTTTGTGGGTCATTGTTTTCAGTAATAAACTTCACTTGGAATTTAGCTTTTAAATAAGTTCTTAATCAGTCTCTTTTAGAGCACAGTAAAGACAGAAATTCCAAATAAGCTGGGAAAGCAAAAGTTTAAGTTGCGAATTCTGTATCTGAAGAAAAATGTAGGAAGAGCTGAAGAGAATCCTTTGATAGGTGCAGTAGAATGAAGCAGAAGCATGGTGCAGTTCCTCATAGGAGGCAGGCAGACTGAGAGCAGGATGTGACATCTCTTAAAATTTGCTTTACTACGTCAATATACTCTTCCTAATGTGGCAGTTCCAGGAAAATCTGAGTTCCTTGTAGCCTCAACCTACAGTTTGACTTCAGCAGTGAACCTGTTGCTGCTCTCAGGGCAGAAGGCTTTTTTACATCATCCTTACAGTCGTTAGTAGCTCAGTACTCTGTAATTTTACTGCACATGGGGCAAAATATCTTCAGTTAATCTGTCCCCGTTTTCTTTTAGAACCAAGTAAATGGTGTGTCTTACTGAAAGAATACATTTAATCAAAACCATGAGGAAAGAAACAAGGAAACTTCCCTTCTAATGTTTGTTTTGGGTTTTTTCTTCTCTTTCTAGGTATCCTTATTAGAATACCGCAAGAGGCAACGCGAAGCTAGAAAAAGTGGCTCGAAGACAGAAAACTTCCCCCTGGTTACTGTATCTCCTCATACTGCTGGTGGAGGAAATACAAGTAGTAACAATGGTGCTAACGATGGGTATAACAACAGTGGTGAAAACGGGGAGCAACCTGAGAACGCTGCCAGCCTGCCTTTGCCACTGCCCGCTGCTGTTTGTAACGCAGCTCCAGAAGACGTTGGCAACAACTGCGCGATTAAGGAATCTTCCTCCAGTGAGAAGAACGAACCAGAAGTTCAGTGGTAAGCCACAATAACGTAGGAGTAAAGTGCTGAATAATTATTTACTTAATTGTAAGTCTTTTCTATTTGAAATCTAGTTTTCATTGATAAGGCTGCAGTTGCACATTACTGGTTGGAAGCCCTAGTGAAGAGTTGTCTTACCTCTTTCCTCAGAAATACAGCAGATACTTCATAAATGTTAGTAGTGGTTCCCTTATTTTCATTCTGCTTTGGGTTTTTTTTTGTTTTCCAAGAGCCAAATTGGTATTGGTTTGAGCAAGACAAGTTGCCTAGTTTTGCAGATTATAAAATTGCACAGGTATACTTGTGAATCTGTAGAAACTGGCATCGGTGAGTAGGCGTGCTCCTGCCTCCATTGCACAAGTTGGGCTGTGTGTGCTTGCGAAGGTGTGTGGAGGAGAGAGCAGCAGGCCTTGGCTCTGAACTCATGTCATCGTATCTCCACTGCTTCGTCTGTGGTCTGAAGAGAGTATTTTTCATCTTAAATCTTAAGACCTTTCCAAAAGTACTGTAGGGAAGAGGAGCAGAACAGGAGAGTGATCTGTGTTGATCAGCAAAAGCTTCTAGAAGACTTTAGGAAGTCTGTTTCTCAGTGATCTGACTGGAATGTGTTTGTGGTGGTTGCTGTTGCTTAATTGCAGCGTGCAGGCTGCATGCAGGCTGCCTAACGGCTCCTCCTGCTCAGGTAGAGCGTGTGGTGATACTTGCATCGTTGTTCATGATCATTAAATGGTTCCCCTGTGTGCAGACCATATGCTTTGTTGGCTGCCATGCCAGATACTCCAACAACCAGAAATCCTGGGGGGAGATACAGTGTGAAGGGGGATGAGATACAATGACTTCAGTCTGTGTAAATGTTGCACAACACTTTCCACTGTGTTTTTGGTAGCCTTAAGGTGGATGGTTGGTACCCTTGTGACGCTCTCTCCAAAATGTGACTAGCACAGAATGAACCCTGCAGCTATTCTCTATGCTGTAGTGAAGGCCTAACAGTGTTGGGGATGAGGGTGGGCTGAGGAGGCAAGCATCCTTCTGCTCGGATGCTCCAGCTCTTCCAGAATAGAACGCTTTTGTAGAAGGGAGGACATAAGTGCAGTCTTCAGAGGTTCACTGGGAAGGGGCTGTAAGTTCACTACGCAGAAACCAGTGCACTATATCGTAAGCAAAGAATGTGGAAACAGGCTAAACAGGGAATGACTTATTAGTAAGTTTTTGCAGTGAGCCTTCAGACAGCACCAAAATTTATTTCAGTACGACAGTATTGTAAAGTAACGCCGCATGGTCTTGCCTGAAAGAAAAACTGAGTTTTGGAAGAGTGCTGTCACTTACGTTCTTCTTGATCAGGTTGTGGTTGTCAGATGTAACTGATAATAAGGGAGAAAATGGGACTGTCATTTCATACCCGCTGTCTGGCAAGTTAAGCGTAGAAGCATGAACAGATTTATTTGTAGTTGTGCAGTCTTGACAACTACAGATCCACTATTAAAGAGCAAATTCTTAAAAACAAACAAAAACCATTCCCAAGAAAACCACAAAAGCAAAAAAACCCAAACTACTTCCAGCTTGGGAAGACAGTTTTCTACAAAGGGAGAATATGAAGCAATACCTGCAATCTTTATTTTTTCAAGTGTAGTTATTGACTGTTTAGAAAAAGCAAAAACCCCACCGATCTACAGATGATCTTTCCATATTAAGAGGAATTGGCAGTTCTTGTAAAGTAACAAGGTTGCAGGAAATTGCTGTATTTAAAGTGGGAGAAAATAGGTAACAAAATACTTAGCAAATCATATTCCTTATGTACAGACAATTATCTGGTTCTTGCGAGCAGTCAACACTGTGAACTTCCTCTGACACAGTATTTGCAAATACATTGTCCTGAATTTGGTCCATGGGAGAACATCCTCTTTAATTTTAGACTGTGCTTCTCTCTTCCAGGACTGCATCAACCTCTGTGGAACAAGTGAGAGAACGAAGTTATCAGCGAGCTCTACTTCTCAGTGATCATAGGAAAGACAAGGACAGTGGTGAGTTGACTTATCACATCGAAGGTAGATAAATCTAACCAGTCCCCCGTGGCAGTCCGTAACCGTTCTAATGTTCTGTTTGGGTCTGCTTCGTCTGTAGGGGGAGAATCACCTTGTAGCCCATGCTCACCGTCTCATGTTCAGTCTCCACCTTCATCTCATTCAAATCTCATTTCCCAGTTGCAACTTAAGGTCCCTTCTTTCACTGAATTTATGGAAGGTCAGTAAGCAGATGACCTTGTATGACGCTTGACATACTGAATAGTCTCTTACAACAACTTTAATGGCTCTTTTAAAATCACATATGAAGTGCTTAGCGATCTTTGCAAAAGACTTGGTTTTCACACTCTCATATTTTTCTCTGCTTTATGTCTGTAGAACCTGATCCTGAAAATCCAGAGCCAGCTTCTGAATGTGTGTCCCCAGATACTTCACAAAAGACTTGTAAGAGTCCGTCAAAAGCAAGCAAGGTAATGCACAGTGTTCGCAGGAGCACGTGGGTCTGCATGTGTGTGTTGTATAATGTGCATGCGAATGCGTACATGGATCTCGGATTTATCTTAAATAAAAAGTGAATCTCATCATTTACTTCTCAGATAAATGTGTGTGTGTGTGTGTGACCCTTCTGTGCAGTAATTTAACATGGGTAACGTTTGTAAGAATATCTGTGGTAGTCCATACATGCTAAAAGTCGGTTTATATTCTGTTCTTTTAGTAGCTTTACCTATTCATATATGATCTTGCCTTCTGTAGACACAGAAGAGGTTGTATCAGTGGATTCAGTATCACCACAGTTCTGCAGGGTGAATGCTGAAGAACTGGCAGTCAGAGCTGACAGTAGTCACATGATTTACGTACTTCTCACCGTAACAGGAGTTTGCTCTTGCCATGCCGGGGTTTGGCTCTGGTTGTCGTTAGAGGCACTGATAAGGAGAAGGATGTTGGTAGCTGCCTGTACGGTATTAAATGGAGTAATTCAGGTTGTAAGGTTTAGTCTGTTTGCTTGCACTATGCCAGTTTTAAAATATTAAATCACTCTAAAAATGGTTTTATTTTTGTAAATGGTCTTCTCTGGAATTATTTCTTTCAGACTTGTATATAAAACTTGAACAAATAGATTCTGACGTTGACCTGATGGGTCATGTTTCCGTTACTACTTTAAATACACTTGCTGGTCTTTGACTTTGAAGAATGAGTGATGTATACTCGCTAAAAACAGCAGCTTGCAAAGTTTAAGCTTTCTGTTGTCGCTGTTTTTCTAATACCAAATACATATCCTGTGCCTCAGCACTTTTTTTCACCACTGGGGGAAGAGAACAGTATTCTGAGAAATTATTTTCTAATTATTTTTCTAATGCACGTGTAGTTGAGTATTTTGAGTGCTCTGCACTGACTTACTTTCTTTTCATTCTAGCCCTCGTCACCGAGTCCTGTTGTTTCAACGCAGTCACTTGGGAAAACGCCCACAAAACCGGATCCGCACTGGGAAACCGCCGCTAACGCACCCGAGGCCGAATGTGCGAATCACCCGAAATCCGAGCTGCAGCAAAAACAGCTGACAAACAACGTCCAAGCACTTTCAAAAACTCATCCATCTCAGTCGCATCTGCGCAGTTCTGCTGAGCAACTCCCACATTCACAGAAGTTGCCTTCTGCACCTTTGAAGCTGCATTGTCCACCTTCACCTCACGTAGAAAACCCCCCGAAGTCCTCTACCCCTCACGCACCTGTGCAGCATGGTTATCTTTCACCAAAGCCTCACTCGCAGCAGTTGGGATCTCCATACAGACCTCATCACCCACAGTCACCTCAAGTTGGAACACCCCAGAGGGAAACACACCGGAACTTCTACCCGGCAGCACCGCCCCTTCAGCCTGGCAGTCAGCAGCCAGCTAGCGGACCCCTCTTTACTCAGACAACTTCAGGACAATCTTCAGCTTCCTACAGCCAGTTCAACCAACAAAATCTGAACAGCAGCGCCCCACCTCC